TTTTATATTACTTTTACTTTTTCATTTTTACCTCTTCTGAAGCTTATATTGCCATAAAGATTGAAGTTGGGATTCAGTTCATTTTTTCCCAACAAGTGGCCCTAAGGTCACTTACTGAGTCATCTGTCTTGGAAATGTCAGCCTGTGTACATATTGGTCTCACCTCAAGATTCTTTAGTCTGTTTCATTGATTTGCCTGTCACTTCCTACAGCAGGATTACACTGTTAATCACATTCTAAAAACATCCCATGTTATTTTTGGTCTATTTGTTCTTCATTGCTGACCATATTACATCTGTGAATTCCCTTCTGTATTTCCAGCAGGTTTGGATTTGTATTACATCTTATCTGACCATCTGACACATGAAGACCGTCACTGTAATATTTAATGAAGGATTCAAATTTTCATCAGTATGAAGTGACCTACTCTTTCTTCTTTGAGCCTTTTGACTGATAGGTTCCAATATCTTTTCTTTTCCTAATTCCATCCTTTTAAGTCTTTACAGTTTTATTGAACTTAACTAAATTCTGATTCTTGCACTTGACAACCTAATTTTACGTATGTATGCTCACACTTATGTGTTTGTATTTCTGTCTCCTCATTTGATACAGTGTGTATTTGTTGCAAAGTTACTTACATTTTTATTATTATATGAATTATTAAATATACTGTCATGTTCATAATGAGTTTGGGAGAAATTAGGGAAGCAAGACATCTTTTAATTGTATTGTGACTTCACTTTATTTGTGATTCTTGTACAAGTGTGTGTGTGTGTTCAGATAGAGGATTGGTCTGTTGCATTCTGGTACTGAACTTGTAATCTTCAGGTTTTAACTTCCTAATTAATACTAATTTTCATGGATATTCTTAAAGGTAATTTATATTCTTAGAAATATAGTACAGAATTTTTAAGTTTGGATGTTACCTCTATGGACGTTTAACCTTATGTGCCAATCTTGGGCACTCTGCCATAATCTTTGTGTAGTAGTTTGCCATTTATAATTCATATCAAGCATGGTGGCTAATGCCTATAATACCAACATTGGAAAGCTGATGAAGAAGTATTGCCATATTGTCACAAATTTGAGGCCAGCTTAGGCTACATAGTGAGTTCTAGGATCACCTAGGATATGAGTACAACACTGATTAAAAAACAAAATAAAAAATTCATCCCTCTGTTTCCTTTTATTCTCTCTCCATTTCTCATTTAACCAAAATTTTTAAAAAGCAGCAAAATTATAGGAAACCAAAGACAGAAAACAAACAAAACCATAGAGAACTTAAGCTAACCCCTAAAGCATACATAAAAACTATACATTTTTATAATTGTCTAGGCTAGAAGCTCCCTCCCAGTGAACAATTCCAAACTAACCATTGAAGCTCAATTAATAGCATCAAATCTTTCCTTTAGGATCTTTTATTTGCACATGGGCAATTGCCTGCCTTTCATGCATGTTCCATTTGGTCTCAATCTGAAGGAGCACTATCCTTTCATGACTCTGACCTGCAACTCTACATGTACATTTTAGCTTCCAGGATTCTTGGTTCTGTGTCCACTATGCAGGGAGCCCATCGAACTTTGCCTGATGATCCTTTTCCTATGGACCATGGCCTGTAAACCCTCCAAGCAATCATTTGAGACAGGACTCACTTCATTTTCTCACTGTCAGGGGTCATTGAGACTTACAAAATGCAAATATTCATTAGCACTGTTACTGTCCATGACATCAGAAAAAGACCAAAATAGAGGAAGACACTATTCCTGTCTTCCAAGAGAATAAGCAAGACATATTTAATTTACCATCTTCTTAGTTTTCTTGTACATCTTTGACTTTCTACCTGGAATCACTATTTTCTATCCCCATGGAATATCTGGAGATCAAGAGAACCTCTTTTTTTTTTGTTATTGTTGGTCTTGTTCATTTTTTATTAATTTATTTTTTACAATCCAATCCCAGTCCCCCCTCACTTCTTTCTTCCTACCCCCTCTACTCCCTCCACCTCCTATCTGCTCCTTGGAGAGAGGGTAAGGCCTCCCTTAGGAAGTCTACCAAGTCTGTCCCATCATCTAGTTGAGGCAGGATCAAGGCACATCTCTACCTCCACACCCCTGTGTCTAGGCTGGGCAAAGTATCTCCCCAAATGGAATGGGTTACACTAAGTCAGTTTGTGCATTAGAGTTAGATCTTGTACCCACTGCCAGTGGCCTCATATATTGTCTCAGTCACACCATTGTCACCTATATTAAGGGAGTCTAGTTTGGTCTTATGCAGACAGAACCTCTTTTTATCCTCTATAAAGTAGCCTTAATTATTCTTGAAACATGGTTTTCCTACAGGGCTTCCAGTTCTTCGTTGTCTATCATTTTGTTGCATTTTCTTTGCATTTCCATTGTATCTATTGGAAAGTCATCAACGGGCAAGGTGTTTGTTGGATGACAAATTTTGAGATGTTCTTTTTATCTTTGGATCTCAGCAGTTTTGTTGTGATGGGACTTGCTGTAGATTTATTTCTATTTATTCTGTTTGGAGTGCATAATATTTGAAGACATTTGACCATTTCAGCAATTTCACCATGATGGGACTAGCTGTGGATTTACTTTTATTTGTTCTACTTGGAGTTCAAAAGTTTTGATGAAATCAGGCTCAATCTTTTATCAAAATTTCTCACATTTTATCAAAATTTCTTCAAATATTGATGCTGATCAATTTGTTCTCTAATTCAATTCGTGATATACTTCAATTCACCATTGTATAATAGATGACTTCTGCTACTTTAGTGTTTGTCATCTTATTTTCTCTTTACTATTTTTAATTTGGACATATTCCTCATATCTAACCTATGGTTCATAAACTGTGTTTTGTGTGCCCCTAATATACTGTTAGAACATGAATGTGTCCATTGAGTTAACTTGAATTATCACATGCTTTCATACTGACTTGTCTTTCTTTTTTTTCCAATAATAACTATTTACAGCTAAACTTCCAATCTTGCCTTTATTCCTTTATGAGTATCCAGTGTCACTATCCTAAAAAGAAGTTATTTATCTTTATTTTATGTGCATTGGTGTTTTGCCTGCATGTATACCAAATGTAAACAGAAGCATTTTGTCTCACCCAACCTCATAGCCATTTTTAAAATAACCATTCAGAGGCTGTATTAAGTATAAATGCTTGGCTGATGGCTCAGGCTAGTTAATAACTGGATGTTACATTTAAATTAACCCATATATCTTATCTATGCTTTGCTATGTGGTTCATGGCTCTTGTTACTTCATTTTCTACATGCCTTGCTTCTTCAGTGGCTGGATGGCATCTCCCAGACTCTGCCCTTCTTCTCCTGTGTCTCTGCTTGGATTTCCTGCCTCTCTCTATCCTGCCTTGCCATAGACCAAAGCAGTTTTATTTATCAACCAATGAGAACAACACATATTCACAGCATAAAAGAAAGGCATTCCATAGCAGGGCTGGTATTAATGGACTTTGGGGATGGAGGTAATTTGAAAATGAGTAGCAGAATTCATAAAGAAGATGGCTGGCTCACTGTTCTGCTAGTGTATGTATCTTTGGGCATTCTACTCATAACACTTGAAAGGGCTATAAGAGTCCCTCTGCCTTTTTAGCAATGTAACTCCTGATGTTCTTTGCTGAACCTGTACATTCCCTAAAACAAACACAGTTTTAAACTTTACACTCACAATCCAGAGAGTCACTTCTCTTAGACCTTGAATAATTTTTTTATTGTCTTGTTAATTCTTTAACATCTTTAAATAGCCTCTTTCTCACACTCATATATGTGTGCATATATGTTATTTGTCATATATCATCTATCCATCTATTACCTTCTAACAATCATCTACCATCTATCATCTATCTGTCTATCTATCTAATGCTAATACTTATATTACATGTATAGCTCATATGTAATAAACAGCAACTGGATTACATGAAATCCATGAGTACAGTGTGTGCATATTTTTGTTTAGGTTGTCTAGTTGATATTAATGAGGGAAATAATCCAAGTTATTTTGACTTAAATTATTAAGAGTAGAAATCATCATTGTTGCTTTTAAACAATTTTTAAATTTTCAAAGTTAAAAAAAGGTATTTGGTTATATTTTTGATACTAATTAAAAAATGATCATTTAAACAATCTTCATATGTTTAATTTGTACTTCACCACATAGAACCTTCCCATTGTGCCTTCCTCAGTCTGAATTTTGTTTCCCGTTTTGCACTTTGATTTTAAACAAGCCTTCAGTGTGTTTCTTCAGAAGCCATGCCTGGATGGCATATTTTCTAAATCTTTGTATTCCCAAGAAGCTCTTACTTGATTTAAAACATGAACAATATCTTTACTAGATGCAGAAATGGGTTCCTAAACAAACCATTTTGGTTTTTCCTGGCAGTTGGGGATGAATTTTGGTGATATAGCTTGTACTGATTTTGTCTTTCTTGTATACTTTGCATGCCTTTCTTAGCCACCAATCTTCAGAAATTACACGAGGCTTTGGAGGTGTCTAGTCTTATTTGAGTTTTCATTACCTTTGCATATAAATGTAATGTGTACTCTTACATTCTGAGCATAGAAACTGGCTTGCATTAGGAAAATATTCTTCTCTCTATTTTCTTACAGATTGCTTTATTTCTGTAGACTTTGTTTATTCTTGGTATTCCAAGGATATGGATACAGAGATTTACTCTCTTGGGATTATTCTCTATATGCCTCACACTTATTCTCATTCTTATCATATTTTTATTTCAATGGTTACAAAACTATTGATTATAGAATCCAGGCAGGTAACAAGAAACAACACAAGTGACACCAATTTGGTTAAAAATAATGAGTGACAAAGATTGAGGATGGCAGCAATATCTCACCAAGATGCCGGTGTAAGGAAACAGCATTAGAAAGCTACTCTTCTAGAAAAACTCAATCTGACTTTTAATATATATTATTCCTTAATTAGAAAAAAGCCAAAAAAGACCCCACAACTTACCATTGGGAAGTTCTTGGTCACATACAGAATGACTGGTAACATCACTGTCTTTTGTAGTATTGTCATCCCTTGCAGAATCTGCTAACAAACAAATAGAGCCTTTAGTCATCATTTTCGACTGGGAAAGAGAGCCTCTTCTATTACTAACAGGGCAGATTGATGAGAGATGTCATTTTGTATATGTTTCTCATACTAGTTTATGAATAAAGCACTGTTGGCCAATAGGAAAACAAGATAGGCGGGACTAGGAGACAAGGAGGAAATAGGAAGGGATAAGGAGGGTCAAGATGGAGAATTGCTTTCGGTAAGACCACGTGGAAATACATAGAAATGGGTTAATAATTAAGACAGAGCTAGCCGATAAGAAAGTAGCAACTGGCCAACAGTATAATATCAAATACAGAGTATGTGTGCATTAATTGGTGCTGGCGCCGCGGCGGGACAAGACTGGCGGCGGGCAGAAAAACCCTACACCTTACAGCAGATTTACATTTAAGACAGTGTACTTTATTATTTCCAACTGTACCTATTAAAACACTTCAATATCTTTACTATGGAAGACTGTTTTCTTAAAAATACTACCTAAAAAAAGCTGCACAAAGCTTCAGAAGCAGAGAAAGTAGAGGAGGTATCTTTGTAACAGAAAAAGACAGTAACAGAAAAGCGGGCTGCATGCACCAGTTGAAGTCCCAGAATTGTGGGAAAGGAACATGAAAGGAAGGTAAACTAGACAGGACTAACGGAATATCTAATTTTAATGTCCTTAATGTTCCTAGTATTTTAGTTGCTGACATACATGAGCCCCAGAGACCCAGAAAAGTGAGATATTGACTCTTGGAAAACTAGTAGCAAGTTGTTAAAAGGCTCTGATGCTTAAGATTGCAGCCCACCATGTTTGGACAACTTTCTAAGCTTGGAGCAAAATGGAAAACTTGCTTCCCCCAACAGGGGCTTTCTACTATCTTTCTGACCTTATTTGGAAGCTATCCCAGACCTTGGACACATGACTTATCTTCTTTGACAAATTTCCTGCAATTGGTCTCCTCCTGGCACCCACATGATAATTAGGTATTATGCTCTTATATGTATGATGGGATTGTGCCACCAAATGCAAATAAAGCATGCTACGAGCACCTATTAGGTAATGTCCCAGATGCTGTCCCCTCCTATGTATCCCCTGCACTCTGGAATAAATTTGATCTGTCTCTCTGAAGATGACTCCTGGAAGGTTATTTCCATTGTACTCACAACCAGCCTACCACCCCTGCTCCTTTTGTTTTCATAGCCTGGTGGCCATGAGGAAAAGAGGGGGCCCAGCAAGCAAAGTCACCCTAAGGTCCTAAAGCAGTTGACAAGAGCAAGGAGGGGATAAAGAACTTCTGTTCTATACAAAGTGACTCTCTCCCTATAAGTGCCATTTTAAATATGGAATAAAAACATGGTCACTTTAAAAATACTGTTTATTAATTTTACTTTAGTGTGTGTGTGTGTGTGTGTATGTGTACATGCACACAGATGAAGAGCACTAGAGCATGCATGTAGAGATCAGTGGACAACTCACATTAATTGTTTTTATTTTTCTACTCTGTGGGTCTCAGGAATTGAACTCAGTTCATCATGCTTGGTGACAAGCACCTTTTCTTAATGGACCTTCTTGCCAGCCCCTACATGCTCAGTTTTACTATAGGACTCAGTTATGCTATAGGACAAATAACATAGCTCAATGTATTCTGTAGTAAAGAATGCCTGTCATTCTAGAGTACTAAATTGTTGATCACTGTAGGATCTAAAGAAAAAAAAAAAAAAAGAAAAAAGAAAGAAAAAGAAAAAGAAAAAGGACACTGTAAGATCCTAGCAGCCAGGAGCAATACAGTAGCCCTTTCATTCATTTTACAAGTATTTGTTGAATGCTGACAATATGGCAGATGCTGGTTGACAGTATGGCAGATGCTGGTCTAGCATTAGGGACCCAACAAGAAATAGAAGTCTGCCTTCATAAAGCTTGCAATCTAGTATGTTTTTTTTTTTTTTTTTTTTGCATCGCCCAAAGGGACAAAATTCAAGATACCTTAGTATTACTAGCTGATCTTGTCAATATTCAGTTAGGGAGAAACCTGTGCCTTAATTCCTATAAATTTTCTGGGTTTGCACCTTTAAGCTCAGTTCCAAGGCCTTGACGGTAAAGTCAGATAGAATCTTAAATGCAATTTTGTTTGTTTGCTTCCCTTCCCTCTCTCCCTCTCTTCCACCCTCCCCTGTTTCTCAAAACTGGAAGATAGCTTCAAACATGTTTTTCGATTATTATAAGAAAGTATGTTTCTTCATCCTGCCACCAGCAACATTTGATGGACAAGTGAAAAGCCTAGGTAGTTATCATATGATTCAGCTTTAATAACCAGTGAATCAAGTATACACCGGAGTGCGCAGCTTTAATTAACTGCAAATAATTCCCCAAGGCAAATGCTTAATCATCTTCAATGCTTCCCAGTTCTTTCTAAGTCTGACAATAAGTTTAAAAGTCAAAAATTGGAAGCAAAATTGGACACAGACACATTTCTCCAAACTGTTATATCATGCATATCAAAACGGTAAAACCAACTCCCATTCTTAATGTTGGAGCTAACATTGAAGAGATGGGAGAGAAACCCTTCACATATGCTTTTCTACATTAACACCAAGCAAGAATAGACAACAGTTAGAGCAACTGTTTGTGTCAGCCTAAGAAAGTGTTTTAGTTTTCCTAGTTTATATGAACTGTTGTAACTTGGTGAGTAATTTTACACAATTCTCATTTTCCCCCAACACTGACATTTTAAGACTGACTACCTGAGATTCATGTGTATTTAAAGTATGTTAATTTATACAGAATAGTAACTACATATTGCACCAAATATTACCTCCTAATGTCTATTAGTTTATTTATTCATTGTTGGTGTCTTTTAGTTCAGTTTTTGTTATGGAACCTGAAATCCCCTGCCTCTACCTCCCGAGGACTGAGATTACAGGGGTGCTTCCACACCCAGCGAAGGAATCTCCTACATGATGACTTATTCTGATTCATATAAAGTATATGAAAAACATTTGAAAAATTAATCACTGGACTGTACCAGTTTTTGTAACCCTGAAATATTTACAGCACACTCTTGTATATGTGTGTGTGTGTGTGCATGTGTATGTGTTCATGTGTTCATGTATGTGTTCTCATTTCATTCACCACGTTTAACAGTGAGTGAATGACCATCAAGGAAGCATATGAGCAAAGTGCAGGTTAGGGTTGAGAGGAGTGTGATGTGGGGATCCATTAGCACTTTTCAGACCTGCCTTGTGAGACACTCATATGTGCTTTTGGTGTTGTGGTCCATGGAAAACAAATACATTGGCTATCTGAAACTCATTTACAGCCTATCTGTGTCCTTAGTGTTCACTGAAGTCCTTAGTCTCTGTCATGTACTCATGAGGGTTTTAGGGGTGCCTCCTGGAGCAAAGAATTTTTCATCTCATCACCTCTACCAGGAACCCACACTCTGCTATCTAACATGGTCCAGTTCACAGCTTCCATGGAGGACTTTATAAGTCAGGTGTGATGGTTAAGGCCTGAAAATCTGGCCCCGTGGAAGCTGGGGAAAGAGGAAGGAGCTGTGAGTGAGTTGCAGGACAGCCATGACTGTCCCAAAGCAAAAAAGAATTTATAAAAGTGGGGCTGAGAATGGTTCTCTTTTTCATTTTATTTCTTGTTTTGTTTTTCAAGACAAGGTTTCTCTGTATAGCCCAGGCTGGCCTCCAACTCATAGAGATCTCCTTCCTGCGTTTGCCTCCTGAGTGCTGGGATGAAAAGTGTGCATTACCACTGTCTGGCTTATTTTTTGTTTGGAAAAGGCTTTAGCTATGTAGTCCAGGCAGGTCTGAATTGTCAGCCTTCCTGCCTTAGCCTCACTGATGTTACGATCATAGGCATGTATTACTACTCAAAGCTATAACTATATTATATCCTCTCTTAAGTCAAGGGTTAGAAAACTGTACTCTCAGGGCCAAAACAGACTATCACCCAGTTTTGTATGACCTTGGGGTTGTGAATGATTTCTATGGTTGAAAACAAGATAATGCTATGTTACGATACTTTAAAAAGTCTGTGAAATATCAAGTCTCTAAATAAATTCGTGTTGAGACATAGCCATGCTTCCTTGGTTTTGCATTGTTAAGCACATTATGTTTTACTTGATTTAAAATTACTGAAGCAACTTTTGTGCTTACAAAATCTACACTGTCTCACATAATCTATACAGTATATGTTACAGGGTACAACTCCAGGGTACAACCTCAAGCATTAATTGCTCAATTATTTAATGCTACAAAATAAAGTAGAGCATATTATAAATCTTTAGGCATATTCTAATTCTGGGTATGAAATATATGAAAGAAAATACAAGTTAGAGATATGTTATAATATATATATTTCATTGCATGTTCTATGTGATAATAAGGATTTTGTATTAATATGACTCATTATTAAGTGTGCTTTGTTTCAGATGTGCAACTTATCTCCATAAAGCAGGATAAGACCTCTAAGCCCAGGACATCATTCACAAAGAGCCACACAATGATGAAAGACTGTCTCTATGAGAGTCACTCTTTTAAAACATTGCTTGAATTTTCAGCCTCACAAACTAGCTACATTGGGCTTGACCCTGTTTGTTTTAAATGATGTGTTCTATTGTATCATACTTATGGGTTTTAAGTGATAGTGTAGCTTTTCTGCTTGGGTGGACAATGGGAGACATGTTTTATATGTATATCCTTCATAAGGATAGAGAGAAAATATATCTAGTTGTTGAGGTCTTCATGCTGTATCCCCATTCCCAAACTCATAAGAGATGGAGAGAAGGCCTGGCTCAGGCAACTGGCCCATGGTGGTGAGCAGGTGCCTTTACAAAAGAGGACTGAAAGACGCATCTCTCCCAACATGTGAAGACATAGCACAAACACTCTATCTATAGACTGGAGAGTGGACACCAGCAGGTAGTGAATCAATCAACCCCTTTATCGTAGACTTTGCAACCTCCAGAACTACAAGAAATACC